ATCTTCCTAAATTCTCTGTAAATACTTCCTAAATTCTTCCTAATTTCTTCCTAAATTCTTCCTAATTTCTTCCTAAATTCCTCCTAAATTCCTCCTAGTATATCTTCCTAAATTCTCTGTAAATACTTCCTAATTTCTTGCTAAATTCCTCCTAATTTCTCCCTAAATTCTCTGTAAATTCTTCCTAAATTCTTCCGAATTTCTTCCTAAGTTCTTCCTAAATGTCTCCTAAATTCTCCCTAAATTTTTCATAAATTCCTCCTAAACTCTTCCTACATTCCTCCTAAATTCCTCCTAAATTCTTCCTAAATTCTTCCTAAATTTTAACTTACTTTATTGATGATTTATCACTTTATTGATGATTTATCATTTACTTTATTGATGATTTATCACTTACTTTATTGATGTTTATCACTCATTTTATTGATGATTTATCGCTTATTTTATTGATGACTGATCACTTACTGATGATTTATCACTTACTTTATTGATAAGTTATTGCTTATTTTATTGATGATTTATCACTTTATTGATGATTTATCACTTACTTTTATGATAAGTTATCACTTACTGATGATTTATCACTTACCTTATCGATGATTCATCACTTTATTGATGATTTATCACTTTATTGATGTTATCACTTATTTTATTGATGATTTATCACTTACTTTATTGATGATTTATCACTTTATTGATAAGTTAGAACTTATTGATGATTTATCACTTCTTACTTTATTGATGATTTATTACTTTATTGATGATTTATCACTTATGAATAAAGTTGTCACTTATTGATGATTTATCACTTTATTGATGAGTTATCACTTATCAATAAAGTGATCACTTATTTTATTGATGATTTATCACTTTATTGATGAGTTATCACTTATCAATAAAGTGATCACTTATTTTATTGATGATTTATCACTTTATTGATGAGTTATCACTTATCAATAAAGTGATCACTTATTTTATTGATGATTTATCACTTTATTGATGAGTTATCACTTATCAATAAAGTGATCACTTATTTTATTGATGATTTATCACTTTATTGATGAGTTATCACTTATCAATAAAGTGATAACTTATTTTATTGATGATTTATCACTTTATTGATGAGTTATCACTTACTTTATCGGTGTGGCTGGAGGTGGAAATGTTCCTCAGGGTGAAGGCAGCTTTGGGGTGGCCGTTGCTCGACTTCCGACCGATGGATTTGTTCCTGCTGGGAATTCCAAAGTCAGTCACGGATGACAACATAAAGCAACCACTTCAGGAACAGCTGCCTCCCGAAATTCTGCCCCTCAGGGAGGTCCTGTCTCAATTAACAGCCCGTTAACGGCACTGCTGGATGAGTCTGTCTCAAGGCAAGGGGGGGAATGAGGGGTTGGTTGGTTTTGGGGTTTCCTCTTGAATTATTTTCGGGGCTCCGACGGGGTTTTGTGTCTCTACCTTTGCTGGGAGGGGAAATAACGAGAGTATCAAAACTCAGTGGTTCTTAGAGCCCTTGGAATTCTTGCAGCCTGCTGGGAGTGAGAACTCAACCCCCCTGCTACCAACCACCTTTATCATCATCCCTGGGATTTTCCTGTCCAGAGAATTCTTCTTCTGCTCGAGGAATTGCTGAGAGCCTCGAATTTTCCCAGGAGAAAACTCCTCAGATCTCAAACCAGGTCTCATAAAACTCTGAAAATGGCCTTGGGCACCTCCAGCTCCTCCACAGCCGTTCCCACCAGGCTGGATGAAACCAGGTTCCTGAGTCCCGCTGGGTCCTCACGAGAGGAGGGATTTAGGATGCCCCACCCACCTGTAGGCCTCCTGGCTCCTCTTCCTCATCTCCTTTATCCATTTATTCAGGAGGGAGTTCTCCCTGCGGTACCAGTAGTAGATGCTCATGGTCAGGGCCGGGAGGAGGAAGAGGAAGATGACGAGGAGGGCGATCAAAGCGGCCTCGTGGTCTGGCAGGGAAAGCACAGAGGGCAGTGAGGGGCTGGGAGACGCTGGGGAACACTGATCCCACCTGATCACCTCAAACTGGGCACATCACTGCTGATCCCTCCTCTGGAAAGGGAGCAGGACCATCCAGCAGCCTCTCATGCAACGTGTGGCCACCAAGCAACTTGATGCGTGACCACGACCACTGACACGGACTCGTGGACTGCCTGGACAGACCCAACCCAGCCCCTCGGGGAGCAGGGCTGCCAGCAGCTCTATCCCCCCCCATTTCCCCCTCTCCTGGCATCATTCCAGCCCCAGGAGCAGCGGAGAAGTCAGGACTCACTGTTGGGCTGCACGGGGCCGCTGTCCACGCTGCCCCCCAGCCCCGGCTCCTGGCAGTAGGGGGGAGCCCAGCCAGCATCACAGTGACAGTTCTTGTTGCTGTTGCAGACCTGCAGGGAGAGGAGAAGGGCTGGAGACCACCAGGGAAGGTGTGGAAGTGGTGGCCTGTGGGGTGGGGACAAGAGTAGGCGGTGGGTGACAGGAATTTGGGCTGAAGGAGATTGAAGCCCTGTTAGTGTTCACCCCTTGAGCATCAGGGAATCACAGGATGGGCTGGGTTGGAAGGGACTTCAAAGATCATCCAGTTCCATCCCCTGCCATGGGCGGGGACACCTTCCACTAGCCCACGTTGCTCCAACCTGGCCTTGGACACTTCCAGGGATCCAGGGGCAGCCACAGCTTCTCTGCCCAACCTGGGACAGGGCCTCCCCACCTTCACAGACAGCAACTCCTTCTCAATATCCCATTTAAATCTCCCCTTTTCCAGTGGGAAGCCATTCCCTGTGTCCTGTCCCTCCATCCCTTGTCCCCAGTCCCTCTTCAGCTCTCCTGGAGCCCCTTCAGGCCCTGCCAGGGGCTCTCAGCTCTCCCTGGAGCCTTCTCTTCTCCAGGGGAACCCCCCCAGCTCTCTGAGCAGAACAAAAGGTCAATGTGGATGTTTCACAATCACATCTCTCCACACAGTCCAGCAGATCTTCCACAGTTTGCTGTTGCCTCATCTCACAAAGCCCCACATTCCACAGAGCTCCAACCCTTGCAACCCTTTGAGCTTTGGACAAGAATGTCTCTTTGTACTTCCTTGGTTTTTTGCAGTCCCAGTTGTCTTTCTAACCCTTGTTTTTCTCTCAGAGGGAACAGGCACCTGCTCCGAGCTCTAAACACTCTCGAGTTCAGACTGGACCCTGATCCAAACTGTGCAGATGGTTCTTACATCAGGAATGGTTTCCTTCCTCTCACTCGGACACGGGTGAGCAAAGATCCCAGCTCAGCCTCACCTGGAGCAGGTGCCTGGGACAGATAGGAAAGGTAGAAATCCAGAGGGCTCATCCCTGGGGGGGGGAGACACTTGGTTTGCCTTAAAAATCCGCTCCTCATCCCGGGATTTTTCTGGGGGTCTTGGGTCATAACTCACCCCGTGGCCATTGCACCGGGAAACGCACTTTTCCAGCTCGAAAAGGGAGGCGTTCTGGCACCGGCGGTCCTTGCAAACCTGGGGGAGAGCCAGGGAGGTTAGAGAGAGACCCAGGAGAGACCACACTGATCTTCTGAGGGCTTCCCTGGGGCTTCTCTGGAAGGATGTTGTCCTTCAGGGTGTTGTCCGTTGGAAAATGCCCTTGGGATAAATCACGTCGTTCCAGGTGAACGGATTTCACTCTGATTTTTGGCCCTGCCATTCCTACATCCAGGACCAGCCACCACCACTCCCAGCCCCCTCCCCTGCCAACCCACCTGGCAGCTCCTGGACAAACTGTTCCCCATCTGGCCTTAAAACTCGGCCAAAAAAAAAAATACGCTGCTGGATTTCAAACCCAGTCACATTCTGGCCTCCCATCCCAAACAGGGATGAAAATTCCACTGTTCAAATGCCAAATAGGGAAGGAAGTGTCTCCACAGCCAGCTCCCTCTGGCAGACACCCCTGCTACCGTGTCCTCCACCAGGCCTCTGCCCTTCCTCAGCTCAAAGGGGCTGCAAAAGGAGGCCAATTCCCAGTTAGCTTTGGATTTGCCATGTTGGTTCTTAACACGGATTTCCCCCCGGAAACAATTTATTTGTGGGAGGAAGCCTCATCCATAAAATCCTGTGGCAATTCTTGTTGGGGTTTCTCTGCTATGAATTGAACCAGAGAAGCTTTGAGGCCAGGGAGAAGAATTTGGTGGCCTGAAAACAACTGTTGATGTCTAAAAATGCCCCAAATGAGAATATGTAGGCCTACAGACATTTGGTGATGTCTAAAAATGCCCCAGATGAGAAAAATTTGGTGGCCTGCAAACATCTGGTGATGTCTAGAAATGCCCCAGATGAGAATTTGGTGGCCTACAGACATCTCGTGATGTCTGGAAATACCGTCTATGAGAGGAAATTGGTGGCCTGCAAACATCTAGTGACATCTGGAAATGCCCCAGATGAGAATTTGGTGGCCTACAGACATTTGCTGATGTCTAAAAATGCCCCAGATGAGAAGAATTTGGTGGCCTGCAAATATCTGGTGACATTTAGAAATTCCCCAAATGAGAATTTGGTGGCCTACAAACATTTGCTGATGTCTAGAAATTCCCCAGATGAGAAGAATTTGGTGGCCTGTAAACATCTGGCAACATCTAGAAATGCCCCAGATGAGAATTTGGCGGCCTGCAAACATCTGGCAACATCTAGAAATGCCCCAGATGAGAATTTGGTGGCCTGCAAACATCTCGAAACACCCCGGTCGAGACGTCGCTGGGTCAGACGTGAAGGAAACCATGTCCCACATCCCGTCGGCAAAGCCCCAAAGTCCACGCTGGAGCTGGGAAAGAGCCCAGGAGATGCTGGTCTCCTGCAGGAGCCCCCAGCCCCGGGAAGGGGCACTCACCATCCCATCTCCACACTTGGTCCCTGTCATCACCAGCCCGGGGTCGGACAGGTCGTCCTCGTCGTCCCTGGCCGTGTACATGTAGGTGCCCCTGCACTTCACCTCGCGCCCGTTGAAGCGGATCGTGGTGTCGATGGACACCGTGTTGGTCCCCTGGGGCTTCTTGGCCGAGCTCTGGCACTGGATCTTTCCACACATGGCGTCCCTGGGAGCGGGGAAGAGCCAAGGTGAGGGTGGGAAGTCCCTCGGTCTCCCCACGCCCGCGGGATCGTCTCCTTCAGGATTCGTGGCCACACCGTGTTGTGACTCGGCAGGTTCGGGAAGGACTTGGATAAATCATGGACAGCACAGAGAAATGGTGGAGAGAACAGTCAGGGGGGCTTCTAATATCCCTGGAATACTCCCAGGCACATGGTGGGATTTTTAGGGTGTCCTGTGCAGGGCCAGGAGTTGGACTCGATGGAGTTGGACTCGATGGAGTTGCTCCCTCCCAACTCAGGATATTCCATGATTCCATAAACTGGGAATACCGGGGGCACACGCTCCCTAAACAGCATCCCCTGATGCTGTCTTTGATCTTCCCTGTACGAGGTGCTGCCTGATGGGACAACAGGATCATTTGGGTTGGAAAAGAACCTCAAGACCATCAAGTCCAACCTCCCGGCACTGACGGAAACAGAGTCCAGAAGGATGTGGTGGCTTCCTCAGTCCCGAAAAACGGGCCTGACCCCAGAGGTTGGGGTAGGAGCCTCCCAGCCCTGTCCCAGGGGTGGGTACAGAGGGGCTGTGGGTGCAGGAGGAGGAGATGGGGCACCCAGGGGTGCCAGGGCTGCGCCCACCTCTTGTCACATTTGACGTAGCGCCCTTGGCTGTCCTTGCCACAGTTGCCATAGGTGTTCCCAGCCATGTTCACGTCCTGGAAACAGGCGTCTGGAGCTGGCCAGGCACCTGCAGGGAGGCAGGAAAGGTCCCAATGGGATGTGGGACAGCAGGAAGTGGGGAAAAGTATTGGACATGGAAGCAGCAGCTGGATGTTCCTGGAGAAAACACCACAGAAAAGTCTCCTGAAGAGCTGCTGCTGAGGGTGCTGGACCAGGGGCAGCACAAGAGGGATGAAATTCCCTTTTTTCCGAGGTCTTGCAGAGGATTTTAGTCATAGAACCATAGAGTGGCTTGGGTTGGAAGAGATCAAAGCCCATCCAACTCCAACCCCCTGCCATGAGCAGGGACACCTTCCATTAGCCCAGGTTGCTCCAAGCCCCATCTAACCTGGCCTTGGACACTTCCAGGGATCCAGGGGCAGCCACAACTTCTCTGGGCAATCTATGCCAATGCCCCTCCACCCAATAGCCTCCAACCCCACAGGTAGATGCCATGGAGAGGGGTGGGAAGGAGGCCAGGCCGGAGCTGGTGGGACTCACCTGGTCCCCAGAGCTGGACACACTGCTGATGGTGGGTCATGCACATCCCGTTGTTGCAATAGGCCTCTCCATAGGCACAGGAGGAGCCATCCAGCAGGTACACGTTGGCTGGGCAGTAGGGAGAGGCACCAGTGCAATATTCTGGGAGGTCACAGGATCCTGCTGCTTCCCGGCACATCGTCCCGGCCGCCTTCAGCTGCCACGGGAGGAGAGACAAACTGAGCCAAGGGGACAAGGTGGGATTGGCTGCTGCCTCCTGGCACAGCTTGGGGACATGAACCAGCTGGAATGTCCTCTGTGGGACCATATGGGGCCATCAAGGTATGGAGATACATTCCTGGGCTGGACCAGAGCCAGAAAGCTGCCAGAGGAGATTCTCCTGCAGAGGGAGTTTTGGGAAGTTCATGGAGGGACAGGTCAAGGGGGAATGGCTTCCCATGGACAGAGGGCAGGGTTAGATGGGATATTGGGAAGGAATTCCTGGCTGTGAGGGTGGTGGGACCCTGGCTTAGGTTGTGCAGAGAAGCTGTGGCTGCCCCTGGATCCCTGGAAGTGTCCAAGGCCAGGTCGGACAGGGCTTGGAGCAACCTGGGCTAGTGGAAGAAGGTGTCACTGCCCATGGCAGGGGGTGGGACTGGATGATTTTTAAGGTCCCCTCCAACCCCAACCATTCCATGATTCTCCTGCAGACAAAAGTTGACACATAACCCTCATCTGGCACGGCAGAGTTTGACCTTTTGGATGTGCAGCACGTGATTCCAGAGGGAACGGCGGGGCCATGTGTCCATGCTCATCCCATGGGCACGGAGGGGACATGTTGGGGGCACGGTGGGGGCACAGTGGGGGTCTCACCTTGCAGTTGTGGCAGCAGTCCCCGTGGGCACACTGGGCCCCCTCCTTCAGCGTGCAGTTGTGAGCGTTGCAGCAGGGGTTGGTGCACTCCTGCGCGGGAGGAGAAGGCAACACCGTGGTCATGGTTCCATGACCATGATCCCATCCCTTCCCTATCCCTTCCCCCAGCCCCTTTTCCACCCCTCCCATCACTGCCTTTCTCATTTTGCCAACAGGGAAACCAAGGCACGGAGGGGATGAGGAGGAACCGAGCACTTGGGAGGGAAGTCGAGAAGGAAGCCAGGACTGGGTTAAATGGATTTAGGAAGGTGGGACTGGGATGGAGTCCCTGAGGTGACCAGCAAACCTTCTTCCCTTGGAAACACCCCTCTCCACGTGGTCTTTTTTGGCCTCTGCAGGGAAGGGATGCAACAGCAGCTCCTACCTCCACCTCCCCACAGTCACAGTCTTCTCCTTCCTCCCGAAAGCCGTTGCCACATTTCCGTCCCACCACCAGGTCCTTGGTGTCAGGCAGGTTGAAGAGGCACATCCCACCTCCCTTCTGGAAGTAGTTTTCCAGCTGCCTCTTGCTGCAGGAGCTGAACACGCGAGGGAAGGGGTGTCTGTGCACGGGACAGAGAGGGAGGGATGGAAAACGGGGTCGTCAGGACCAGGAGAAGGTGGAAAACCACAGTCAGAACTGGGAATTAAACACATTTGGCACAAAACCTTCCAACAGGGATGGGAAACAGGGAGATCAGGATCAGGAGAAGGTGGAAAACCACAGTCAGAACTGGGAATCAAGCACATTTGGCACAAACCCTTCCAGGAGGGATGGGAAATGGGGTGATCAGGACCAGGAGAAGGTGGAAAACCAGTCAGAGCCGGGAATTAAGGACATGGACAAACTGGCAGAAAGCCTTCCAAGGGCAGAAGCCATGAGTCCATGAACTTCTCCCACCCCAAGTGGCACGGGGTGAGCACCAGAACAACAACCAGGGGACACTCCCCGAACCCCAAATCCTCAGGAATGAGATGGAGGTGACAGGTAAAGCCACCCTTGGAGCATCAACCCTCCAGCATGAAACCTCTTGGAGATGGAGGCCCTCGTGGTGAGACCCTGCAAGCCCAGGAGCACCAACCCCTGCAGGCTCTGTGAGCTCCAGGCTGGTGCAGATGCCACCTCTGTGCCCCTGCACCTGGGACACCACAAACCCCCCCCAAAATAACCACAGGGCAGGTCCCCACATCTGCTCAGGATGTCAGTTAAAAAGATGTTATCTCTGAACCGCCGAGGGGAAATAACCCTCTGGGGCTCCTCAAACACCTCTGGGGTTGTGATGGGTGAAAAATCATTTAAAAAATTAAAGAAATATGGGAAAGGATCACCAAAAAAAATCCCACAGAACAGAAAAAGAAATAATTAGAGCCTAACAAAGTGTAAGGTTATTTTTCCAACAGCCCAACCAGCCTGAGGAGCTGGAGAGAAACTGGTTTTCTAGAGGAACTCGGAGCTCGGTTCTTCTGTGTTTTTGCAAAGTTTGTGGGTTATTTGTGTGATTTATGAAGAATCATTTCCTCCTTCTTACTAATGGTTTCATTTCCTCCTAACCCTGAAAAAGCAGTTTTATTTCGTGTCAGGACACCTCGTTCTTTGAGATGACACAGAAGGATGTTTTGTAAAAGCGTTTTTGAAACCTGAGGGAAATCTGGGGAAGTTCTAAATCCCTGCAAGTTCTGGGGGGTGAGAAAGGCAATATACCCAGTATTGATCAATGTGCAAATAGGGACAGGTTGAAGACAGTCAAAAATGCCCTTTTCCCCACCAAAATCCCCCCAGGGAGAGGTTAAATCCCATGGGATCAGTGTTGGAGTCTGACAGCCCTGAGAGCCCCACCCTGAAACAACACTGGGGGGTTTCCATGATCTTTATTGCTTGGAAGAGCAGGTGGGATCAAATAACAGGGAATAAAACTGCTTTTCTGCAGTGCAGGGATATCTGGGATGAGTGTGTTGTCAGGAGATGGAAAACCCAAAAGGAGAAGGACTTTGGAGCTGGAAGTGGCACCAACCAGATGGATCTGACACAGCTTTGGCCTGAGTTAAAGGGTAAAAGTAAAGAAAACAAGTCCTAGATGGATTCCAAAGAGCAGGAAAACTAATGCCTGACACCCTGGACATCCTGCATCCAGATTTAGGAATGTTGGGGCGAGGGATGTGAGCTCATCCCACCCCAGCCCCGCAGTGCCACGATTCCCCACGGGAATGATGGGGGACTGGGCACCCCTTGGCCCTCTGGTCTTACAATAAAGGGTAATTCCTTTGAGCTGAGGTGTGGGATAGAGCAGGAAAACGCCTTGGATTCCTGGGATGTGTGTGCCAGAAAACATCTATCTGCTTCCATCCTTAGCTATTTTGGGATGGGGCTGCTACTCCTCTGCTGCCCTTTGGAGACCACCAGCCCTGCTCATACCTGGAACCTGGGATGTGCTCGCTCCAGGGAATCAGAGAATAGTCGCAGAGTGTTTTGGGTTGGGAGGGACCTTAAAGACCATCCAGTTCCACCCCCTGCCACGGGCAGGGACACCTTCCACTAGCCCAGGTTGCTCCAAGCCCTGTCCAACCTGGCCTTGGACACTTCCAGGGATCCAGGGGCAGCCACAGCTTCTCTGGGCAACCTGGGCCAGGGCCTCCCCACCCTCTGAGTAAAGAATTCCTTCCCAATATCCCGTCTAACCCTTCTGTGAACGTGAAGCCATTCCCTCTTGTCCCCTTGTCCTGTCCCTCCATCCCTTGTCCCAAGTCCCTCTCCAGCTCTCCTGGAGCCCTGTTAGGCTCTGCAAGGGGTTCTCAGCTCTCCCTGGAGCCTTCTCTTCTCCAGGTGAACCCCCCCAGCTCTCCCAGCCCAGAGATGCCGAGATTCCCTCCCCATTCCCATCCCACCCTGCTGCAAACAGCACTCACTCTCTACTGGGGGGGTTTTCTAGACACATCCCACCCCCAGCAGCTCTTACCCAGTGGCTGCTGCCATGACACAGCCCCCTTGCTCTGGGGTGGCCTCCACACAGCAGCCCTGGGTGTCATGGACCATCCCGAAGTTGTGGCCGATCTCGTGGGCCATGGTGGCGGCGGCTCCGATGGGCTGCTCCGCGTGGTCCTGCACAGGGAGGAGGAACTGGTCAGCTAGGAGGGAGGGACAGGGGTGATCCCACAGTTGGGAATGGGGCTGGGCTGCTGGAGGGACCACAACATCCCCAGGACTGCAGCTGGATCCCGTGGGATGAACACGGAGAGGGTTGGAGGAAGGTTCACAGCACAAGTGGGGTTTGTTCTCCTGGAAGTCCCACGTGGGACTGTTGGGAAGGTCTTTTGCTGGAGCCAACTTCTCAAGGCACATCCCAAAAACAAGCACCCTGGGTGGGCCCCACCACTCTGCCCAGGGGTGACAGGTCACCATGGCCACCACCATCATGACCAGGGCCACCATGAGGAGGAGGATCAGAGTCGTCTGGGCAGAGATGACCCCACAACACCAGGGAGCACGAGCAGGGGCTCCTCAAGGTGAGGGGCAGCAGCATCGCAGGAGATCCCAGCGCTGCTGGAGTCTGGGGGTGCACATGGGGTGGGAGACCTTTAAACCAGCCCCTTCTCACCCTCCTTAGTACCTGGCCAACATCTGAGAGGGACAAGGAGCCACCAACATCCTCACTCACTCCCAGGCTGCATCCCAGGACCAACCCCGGATGGTTGATCCTCCCAGTCCATGGAGAGCTCCTCCAAGTGGCAATGAGGTTCTCCAGCTGGGAGAAGCAGCGGGGACCCCTCACAACCTTCTTACCACGCTGACACCTCCGGAGTTATCCATGCTGCACATCCCCTCCAGCGGGGCCATTCCGATGGTCGTCCCCCCGAACGTCTTCCCTCTGCCCGGGAAGGAGAACGGAGTGGGAATTCAGTCCCCCCCCCAGGGTGGTTTGGGTACCCCGGGGACAGCCGGGCCCGGGGACAGCGGGGCAGGGGGGTGCTCACGTGAGGAGCTGGGCGTTGTCGTGCTTCTTGCGGGACCTCAGCGACTTCTTCCACTGCAGGAAGGCCCAGAGCGTGGCGTTGGCGTCGCTGGTGACGGCACAGTGGTCCCGCTCCGTCCACACCTCCAGCCCGATCAGGGCCACCTTGATGTTCAGCAGCCTGTAAAACTGCAGGGGAGGCAGGGATGGAAGGGATGGAGGCGGGATTCGCCGGGAATCCTCCATCCCTGCCAGTGGGTCTCGGCGCGTCCCTCCAGCCGGGTGACTCCGGGACACATTTCTCCCAAATCCACCTGCAAGCACAGGCTCTACGGGCACAGGAGCCAAGCAGGGTGGCATGATGCCAACCACGGGCTGGCAACACCTTAGTGTATCCCTCCTGTGCCAAGGAAGCCGGCACTGATGCCAGGGCAGGACTTCGCTGCAGCCCGGCCCAAAAAAGCAATTCCCACCACGTTCATCCCAACCCCCAAATTCCTTGATGGGTTTTCCAGTCCTGGTACAGCTGCCCAGGGCAGTGGTGGAGTCCCCACCCCTGGAGGGATTTAAAAGCCATGTGGATGTGGCACTTGGGGACGTGGTTTGATGGCAGCCTTGGCAGTGCTGGGAATGGTTGGACTTGATGGACTTGGAGGCCTTTCCCAACATAAATGATTCTGTAATTCCATGATTCCTCGCCCTAGTGACACGAGGACTGTCCCTGAGGGCCACCACCAGGTTGGCACCAAGATCAGGTGCTCTCACAGGCCCTGGGAGTGACAGGGGTGGCCAAAAGGGCCTGGCAGGTCCCTCACCTTGTCCACGTAGTTGGCGATCTCCACGATGCGCTGCTTGGTCTGACCCAGGTTGAGGTTCTGGTTCCTGTACTGCAGAAATGTGGGGATGGGGAAAGGTCACCAGAGGAAAATCAGGAAGGGACACAGTGAGGGGACCTGTTTTTTTTGGCAGGGGACCAGGTTTCTGTCCCCCCCTCAGCGCTCACCAGTGTGTGATCGGCAACGATGAAGAGCTCCATGTACTTCATGGTCCTCCAGGCATCTCTCCTCACCTGCAGGACACACACACAAGGCTCAGAGGGGCCAAGGAAGGGCCAGCCCATGGCTCTGGGCATCTTCCACCTCACACACCTCAGAGCTGCTCAGGAGGGACAGCTGGGAGGGGAAGCTGAGGTGTGAGGTGACAAGGAACATTTGGGTGTCTCCAAATGATCTCATGTCCCACAGGAAGTCCCAGCACCAGTGCCCAACCCACACATCCTCTCTCTGGGGCTCTCCTGCCCAAACTCAGACCAGGTAAATCACCCACACAGCCCCCTCATGTCCCACCTGCCTGCAGAGCCCTGCCCAGGCGCCAAGGGGATGGGCACAGGGCATCAGGAGAGGTGCAGACAGCCCCGCTCCCAACCCTCTGCCCCTTCCCAACAGACCCCAGGGTGGATTTACCCGGCGGTGCTCTGGCTGGAAGAGCTGGGCAATGTCGGCCACGGTGCTCCCAAAATCATCCCCGTGCCCACAGGTGCCAGCTGGGAGGGGCAGGTGCTCTGCTTTGTGGATGATGTGGTGCCCCAGCTCGGGGGGGTCCAGGGGGCTCAGGTAGTAGCTGGTGTTGCTGCTCAGCACTATGAGACCCCTGGAAGAGGAGAACAGCCCCTGGTGGCTCCTGCAGTGCTTCCCCTGTGGTTCCCTCAGTCCCTGAGGCCCCACAAACTCATGGCACCTCAGCTTGGTCCACATCCAGGGTGGGAGCAGGGATCAGGGATGGGGGTCTTTGTCCAAACAGCCCCGGGAGTGAATACACCCTCAGCACCAAAACCATCAGACCACGTGAACAAAGCTCAGTTCTGAGGGTCTTGCCCCCTCCAGGGATGAATTTCCTTGAAGGAAGCCAATCCTGCCAGAAAATTGTTCTTTCTCCCCTCACCTGCCTGCTCCTGGGGTTGGGCAAAGGATGGGAAAAGGGAGGAGAAGGATGGGATGGGAGCAGTGGAAAGATCAGCCCCGTGAACCGTCTGGAGCCGAGATGGAGGAGCATCGGTGCTGCTCCAGGGGGGGATCTCTGCAGGGGGGAAGGAGCAGTGGGTCCATCCCACCCTCTGCCAGCCCCACAACGCCCCCACCCTGCGTTTTTCCATACCGTATTCCCGAGCAGGTGCTGAGGACAACCCAGGAGCCGCCGTAGCCGCGGACGTGGCCGTGGTAGTGACAGTGCTCCTGGAGAGAGGGGATGGAGACCCTCAGTGGGGTCCCTCAGCAGGGCTGGGCAGCAACAAACCCCGCGTGCTGATCCCCAAAAAAAACCCCACCAAAACCCATTTCCCATTTCCCGGCCAGGGGAGCCGCGTCCCTCCAGGCCGGGAAGAGCCGGGAGGGAGGCGGGAGAGCCGGAGTTCAGCCCGGGACACAGCCGGGCCCGGCGCGCTGGAAGGGCGACAAAAGGCCGGTGGGGGGACATCGGGGAGGGCCTGGTGCTGCCCTGTGTTTACGTCCCGAGGTGCTGACGCGCGCCAAGAGATACAGGAGCCCGCGTCGGCCTCATTCCTGCTTGCCACAGGGCGCCGGGGGATGCTGCCCCAGGGGATAAACCGCAGCGCCCCGCCCCGCCCCGGGACGGTTTTGGCTTCATCCCAAAACCAGAGGTGACCTGCCACCCCCCACCAACCCCCCCAGCACCGCCCACCGTGTGGTTGGGGGTCACGGTCACTGGCTGCCCGTCCCCGCTGTAGTGAGTCTCCGAGTATCCCGGAGCCAGCAGCCTGCGGAGAGAGGAGGGATGAGCAGCCTGGAGCTGCTCCGGCTGTCCCAGAACAGGGACACAGCGAATCACGCAGAGTCGTTTAGCTCGGAAAAGACCTCTGAGACCATCGAGTCCAACCTGTGACCCAACCCCACCTTGTCACCCAGATCATGGCACCGAGTGCCACGTCCAGCGTGTCCTTAAACACCTCCAGGGAAGTGACTCCACCACCTCCCTGGGCAGCCCATTCTCATCACTCTCTGTAAAAACCTTCTTCCCGATGTCCAACCTGAACCTCCCCTGGCACAACTTGAGGCTGTGCCCTCTTGTCCTACTGCTGGTTCCCTGGGAGCAGAGCCCGACCGCCCCCCCCGGCTCCCCTCTCCTGTCAGGGAGTTGCAGAGCCAGAAGGTCCCCCCTGAGCCTCCTTTTCTCCAGGATGAGCCCCCCCAGGGTGCTCCAGACCCTTTCCCAGCTCCTTCCCTGCACATGCTCCAGCCCCTAAATACCCTTTCTAAACTGAGAGGCCCAGAACTGGGCACAGCACTCGAGGTGTGGCCTCACCAGTGCCCGGTCCAGGGGCAGAATCACTTCCCTGGGCAGCCCATTCCAATTCCTGCCGTGTCCCGACCCGGCTGAGCCATCCCTGTCCCCCCCTCAGACCCCCCTCGCAGGGCTTCGGGCACAGCCCCCAACCCGTGGGGACAGGAATCACAGGCCAAGGACAGGAAAGGGCTGCCCCCAAAACCGCTTTGGGATCCTGGGCTGGGATGGGGGGAGCCCAGTGCCCACCCCGGCCACCTCGAGGGCCACCCGGTCACCTCCAACAGCCGGGCAGGGTGGCGGCTTCTCCACAGGGAACTAATCCTCCTTGGGATAAAGCCCCCCCTGGAGGAAACTTCCTGCTGGGAGAAGAGAGGATCGACCCCGTGCTCAGGGACCGGCTGAGGATGGGGGAGGTTTGGGGTCTCCAACCCCAGGAATGTCACTTGGTGTCACTCCCGGCACCGCCAGGGTGGTAATCCCGAGGAAACACCCCGGGAAGAGCGAGGGGGGCTTCCCAAAAATCCCGAGAGGATTGTAAGAAAGCTCAGGCTGCTTTTAGGAAGCTGCACCCCCGCCCTGCCTTCACCCCACGTGCCTCGGCTCCCCCCCTGCAGCTGCCGGACATCTGCCCCCCATTCCCGAGGCTGATCCAGGAGTGACACATCCCAATCCCAGCCCATCCCACGCTGACAAACGGCTTCCTGCCGCAGGGAAGAGCCAGGGCTGAGCTCACGGCCGGGAACACGCCGGGATGGGGGTGCCAGGCAGGAGAAAGGGGGATCTGGGGCTGGAATGCCCCCGTGGGTTGTTGGAGAAAGGAAGGGGGAAAAAGGGGGAAAAAAGGGGAAAGGATTGGGAA